CATATACTATGACAAATTGTTAAAAAAAAAATATATGTAAATCAGAAATTCATGCCAACAAATCCATGTTTGCATAAAATTCATGCCAACAAATCCATGTTTGCATAAAATTCCACTGAATTTTAGAGTATCATGAGAAAATAATGAGATATTACGTAACAATCACAAAAGTAAAGCATATCTTACTAACTTATAAAAGAAATCCTATTATTTTTATAAATAGATCCACTAAAATAATAATATTTTTTTAAGACGTTCAAGTCTTTAAGCTTAAAGTACAACCAACCCTTAATATAATAATATTATCTATATACTCTTTGAATCTAGAATTTTATGAGGTCTAACTAATAATGCTTTAAGTACTATTGTTTATAAATAGTGAATTTTATATCCCGTGATTTTTTACTGAAAATGGGGAGATTCATTCAAATCTTTTTGACTTTTCAATCCAAAACGTAGCATAGGTCAACACCGGAAAAAGGGCGGGCTTGCTCAATTAAAATCTAAAACAGATTTTGAATTTTTTTTGAAATTAGAGCTTCTCATTTTCACGACCTTGTCCTTTAAATTACATATTTCATGCGTGATTGAGGAGAATGAATTAGAATGAATTAGAAATTTGAAAAATATCTATATTTTCCCCTTATCTCGGCCACCCCTCTCCTACAAATTAAAAATTTTGGTATTTGCATCCTCTAATTTCTCTATGTTCCCTCTCTCTCTCTCTCTCCCTCCCTCTTAAAGCTTCATGTTTTTGTTGGTTCGGAGATGGTGGCTGTTGAAACAATGTTTCTAGCTCTAAGACCTCCCTGTGCACTGCCCACGAACACCAAACGCCACTATTCGAACTTCAACTAGACGTGGCTTCAGCTGCCTTCCGCATATGTTATATGTCGCCGATTCTCCTCTATAAAAACCCCAGACACCGCCTTCATCAAATCTCCGAGAACAAATAGGAACGAACTGCAGGTTGCGATTTAAACCCTTAAAATCGTTATTTTTTGGCTTCTTGGTTCTTATTTTTGTTTATGTGCATATAATTTTTTACTAGGTCTGATCTTTTGAGTCCCAAAGTTAAGAAATTGATGTATTGAGTGATTGGAAAGGTCCCCGCTCACAAATCTTCATATTTATCAAGTTTTTTTGTCTAGGAGCTGTTAGTATACATGGATGTAAAACTGAACACATAATGTGTATTTTTTTTTTTAATGTGATTGTGATTGTGTTTGTGCTCTCATCTCATCTCCTTTGTATGATTCAAATGTTACGGATTTTATCCTCTCATCCAAAAACAACAAATTGTTCTCGAGTTCTAACATTTGAAAGGTAACACTGGATTTTGTAATGTAAACAAGTTCTGTTGGCTTATGGTTTTTTATCTCTGTTGTGATTGTAATATCATGTTCTGTGATTTCTTAATGTTATTTTTTTATCTTTTATCATAATTTTTTGATATGGAGTCTTTTTTTTTTTGTTGCAGAATAAACTTCTCTCTCACAATATGTAACATACTCGTCTATTGCAGATTCTGAATAAAGAATCTCCAAAGTTGCTTAGATGAAAGTTATGGATGGTAAACTATTTTTTTTTGAAGGCTATAATGCGTTTTTTGGTTGATTTATTTAATCTTAGTTTTGTATGTTGTAGAATTTTGATTATTTTATGCATCCTTTCAGTAATTTTCTTGATAATCATTATTCTTAATTCAAGAAGGATGCCCCGCTCAAACATTGCTGATACTAGATTATGAATAATCTTGCCCAAGCTAGATTTACTATTTTGCCCCTGTTTTTTGGTTATCGTTTGCTCTCATACACCGATTTATAGTTCATGTTGTTGAAAGGAACACCTTTACCGGGGGTAGCCACTCTTGATGCATAGTTATATAGATGACCTGATCAACTTATCAACTCCCATATTTTCATCATATATATTTTTAATTTGTGGTACAACTCTTACACCATTCCTCAAAGCACCACCAGTTTTCTCACCATCTCATGCATTCGATCCAGTTTTCTAAATTGCACTTTGGTGATTAATGTTAATAAATGTGCTCTTAATTGATCAATCCTACTTTTTGCAGGTTAATATATTAGCCACGTTTACAAAAACACTCATGTCACTGTTGATTAATATTTTGATTTAACTAATAGCGAAAAAAATCAATATTCATCGAACATGAACAAAATGCCATCTCCTTCCATCAACAATTTGCAAAAATAACGGGGGAGAACAAAGTGTACGTATATTTAAATTTTTAATATAGGCATGATGTATATGCATTTCTTAAAGTAGAACAATTCAATGCATGAGCCATTCAATATTGGTTGTGACCGGTCTTATAACTAAATGAGTAGATGCATGTTGTTTTTATATTTTACATCTTTTTACTGCGTGGTATATAACACATGATTTTACATTAATGACCGATGGAGATACCACACCCCACACGTATTTACATATGATGAAATCCCAGTGAAGACCTCTTTTCAAACTAATCTGAAACTTATCTATTATAGTATTTTGTTATGAAATTATCTTTTTTTTTTATTAAGTGAAGAATTTGTATCGACCGTTTGAAAGATCAAAAGGTGAGAACTGAGGTTTGACATGAGAACTGTAGATTAGAAAGTATTTCATGTATGTCTATGTGTATGTATGTTGTTTGCTATAATAAGAAGAGATACATTCATGCTCACAATTCATTATTTTGACCACCTCTTGCATACTATCTCTTGATACTTGACTCTATATTTTTCGTATTAAATCCTAACCATATCATTGGTAAAATGATCAGATGAATATGGTTTCTATGCTAAATATTATTAAGGTTAATTTATCTCTAATTTTACAAAAAAAGATAAAAATATAATTTTGAATTTTGAAAAGTTAATTCATTGTCGATATAAAAAGGGATATTTTGTATGTCTGATTTATGAATTTCATTTTTTAACATAAATTTTTTGATATTCTTTGAAAATGAAACGTATAATTAAATGGTTTAGATCTAACGAAGAATTTACGTTTTTGACATCTTTCAAAAAGTAAATTAATTTGGACAAAAGTAATATTTACCGTAAAGAAAAAAAGACCGGTCATCGAAACTAACCACCGCTCGAAAATTATTTACCAAAATGAAACAACAGCTGGTCGGAAATAACTTACCGTAAAAGGCTATCCATAGAACAGAAATTGGTTTACATTTGCCAAAACTAATGTAATTGGAGCCTAAAACTCATAGTCGCCCGTTGCATTGTGTGTGTGTGTTTTAAATGTCATATTTTATAGAGGAAACTATTTGCCGATGAATTGTATGTTTATTGTAATATGATATGTTTTCGAGAGAATATAATCACCGATAGGTAACTATTATCCAAAAAAAACCATTCGCATCACCCACATTCAATCTCCTCCGCTGAATTGAAACTAATCATTGTCTACTAACTAATTGCCGAAAAAAATTATTCGCCGCCCGCCACTTTGCGCGGGTAAACGACTAGTTTTAATTTACACAATTCAAATATTAGTTATTACTGATCAGTGGTTAAAAATGATTACTAACCTAAAAATAACAAATCTAATAGATTATAAGCTAAGGACTTAGAAATTAAATTAAGTTTTACTTGTCCGACTAATGAAACAAAGATGCAATTATTTTGAACTACAAATATCAGTGACTACGAAATCCAATAATCAAAATCAATTTATTGAGCTATCAATTGACTAAAAAAACAGATCCAATGTCCATAAATTACTACAAAAATCAGAATTCAAAATCAACTGACCGAATTATCAATGAAAACTAGTATTCCATGATATCACGTTTCATTCAGACATTTTATCAAACACCATTTGTACTTAATTTAGTTTACCATGTTTTGTTTACATGTAAATCACAGAGTTTTCAAAAATCAAACAGAAGGGAATTTTAGACTAAAGGACAAGGATGTGAATGTGCTTGCCTGTTTCATATGTTGTAACCAAAGAAACCACCAGAATTTTCAAAATCGAAAATCATAAAAACAGAATTCAGCTTTAGGTGAAAGCCCAAATAAAAAATACGACAGTGATTTTCAGTGAGAGGAGGCTCAGAAAAAGGGAATGAAAGGCGGTATGGCTGCAAACACCGGTTGCATATTCCAATTAGATATGCCTTCCGAGTTGCCTTGCCAAAATACGACCTTCAAATTCACCCATGGTCGCCGATGCAATTTTTTTTTCACAAACAAAGCTCATCATCGCTTCAATCTTTGTACAGAACCATCAAAGGAATTACAAGTGAATGATGAAGACCAGAAAACGTCAAAGGAAGCAATCAAAACCACAAGCCGCCAAAGGAGACGGTAGTTAGCGATTCAACGATTTGTAGATAGACAACGGAAGTCAGGAAGTCATTGCGCTGCACAAAAAGAGAAGGAAAAGACCGGAGGAAGGCGACAGGTTGTGCACGTGCCTATCGGAAGAATGTCGGCAGAGACACAGAGATAACGATGAGAGAGGCGATATGTCTTGAAACGAACGGTGCCTTGTGTAGACAAAAGTTGTAGAAGAAAGCGGTGGAAGCAGATGCAATTGATTGGGCAATATAAGCGGTGTAGAGTGAATTGGTAAAAGATGTAAATGTAAAATCCATCTTTTAAAGGAGGTAAATGCAAAATTGAAAAAATATGTGGCAATCATGTTAAACCAAAAAAAAAAAAAAAAAAAAAAAAAAACTTGTGGTCAAATTCATATTTTCAAAAAGTTCCTATTCACCAACTTTTTAACAATTAATAATATATATAATTAGCTATTTCAAACTTAACCCAAGACATTCAAACAAACACATCAATTGGGCTTATCCATTAATTAAAATAGTCCAAAAATATCAAGTTGGATCAATTTTTGTCGTTTCTATTTGCAATTCATAATTTAAATAAAAAAAATCAAACCAAACAAAACCGTTAACACTTTCATGGCCAACATCAATTAAATGTAAAACCAAAACTACAAATTGAACCCAAAAAAAAAAAAAAAAAAAAAATTAAAATTAAAATACACAAGGCCACTCTTAATTTTACACTAAGCTCACCTCTAAATCTCAAACTAAAATTCAACATCTTGTTACATCTAATCAAAGATCAAAACAAGCCAACTTAATCAATCTTTCATCATCTCCAAGAAGTCAAATTTTGACCAGCAACCCAATATTGTTTGACTACAAACAATATCTTTTCAGGGACAAGAGGTCCATCTTCATGATCCACCATTTTTGTATCCCACCTCATTCCAGAAACAATTCTTTTCACCTTCATCACTTCTCTTTCATTGTCACGTATTATAACAGTTCCTTCTGGCCTTAAAATTCTATCCATTTCCAAAAGAATGTCCTCATAACTACACCTGTAAAGTATATAACGAATATTATTTATATTAGAAAACATGTTTGTTATGTAGACTTAAAAAAATAAATGAAATTAAATTAAGTGCATATAGACTTACTTGTCTTTGTACAATGTGAATAGACCATTTGCATGGATAAGGTCGTATGTTCTTGGGTATGTTGAGAAGGCTTCACACCTAAAAAAGAAAATAGAGAAATAGGAGTTTATTTAAAAACAAGGGGTAAAATGGTCATTTTGGGTGGTTTGGCAATTAAATACTAATACTTTATTATTTCCAATCAAGCCATAAAAGTTGATCTTATTATTTAAAAACACGAAGGGTAAAATGGTCATTTTGTAGTTCTAAAAAAGATACTGGATTTTAGGTATAGAAATTACCAGTCATGATATATTTTGTTCAAAATATAATGATATTTTACCAAAATATAACAGTTTTTTCGATAATTTGACCTTAGTATTTTTTTTTAAAAAAACACCGAAGGGTAAAACGGTCATTTTGCAGTCTAAAAAAGAGACTGGACTTTAGGTACATAAACTACCAGTCATGATATATTTTGGTCAAAACATAATGCTTTTTTACCAAAATATAATGGTTTTCTCCATAATTTAACCTTATTATTTAAAAAAAAAAAAAAGGGTAAAATGGTCATTTTGTAGTCTGAAAAAGAGACTGGACTTTAGAAATTACCAGTCATGATATATATTTTGGTCAAAACATAATGATTTTTTACCAAAATATAATGCTTTTTTCCATAACTTGACCTTATTATTTAAAAAATCCGAAGGGTAAAACCGTCGTTTTGCAGTCTAAAAAAGAGACTGGACTTTAGGTACATAAACTACCAGTCATGATATATTTTGGTCAAAACATAATGCTTTTTTACCAAAATATAATGGTTTTCTCCATAATTTAACCTTATTATTTTTTTAAAAAAAAAAAAAGGGTAAAATGGTCATTTTGTAGTCTGAAAAAGAGACTGGACTTTAGAAATTACCAGTCATGATATATATTTTGGTCAAAACATAATGATTTTTTACCAAAATATAATGCTTTTTTCCATAACTTGACCTTATTATTTAAAAAATCCGAAGGGTAAAACCGTCGTTTTGCAGTCTAAAAAAGAGACTGGACTTTAGGTACATAAATTACCAGTCATGATATATTTTGGTCAAAATATAACAACTCTTTACCAAAACATAACACGTTTTTCGATAACTAGACCTTATCATTTAAAAAAAAAACCAAAGGGCAAAACGGTCATTTTTCAGTCTAAAAAACAAGACACAACTTCAGGTCACATAAATTACCAGTCATGATAGATTCCAATCAATCCACGTTCAAAAACCACACCAAGAGTATCCCTTTTAGCAACAGTCGGCATCACATTCATCACCCAAGACTTTGGAGACTCAAGAGCAGCTGCAAAGCTTCCAAACCCAGCATTCATATCCATGATATTACGATATCGCCCCGAGTCAATAATCTTATTCACTCTCTTGTAAGCATTAAGATGTTTTTGCCACAATTTCTTGTCTTCTTGGAATGACTCAATGGAGACTCCATCAATGGAGCCACTACTGATTCTTGGAGGGATGTCATTAAGTCGTTCTGGAAATGGTTTCAATTCGCCGCCAGAAACTTCATCTGTGTTGTTTGTTTCCACATAAGGAGTCACACAAGCTTCCATTTCCTTGTACCTAAATAAAAATGTTTGTTCGTTACACTGTGTGTGAAAAAAAAAAAAAAAAAAAGTTATTCTTCTAACAACTCCAGAGCTGACACTGTGAAAAGGTTATTATGACAATAACTCATAGGTTATGTTTGGCAGACTAGCTGGTAGTTGAGAAGCTAGCCGGTACCTGTTAGTTGAAAAGCTGGTTGATAAAAAATTTTGTTAGCTGATGGTTGAAAAGCTAGTTGGTAAAAGAATGATGTTTGGTAAAAAAATTAATTAAGGGGTATATTTGGAAAATTGTAAAAAAGGTCTTGAAAAGCTAGTTTAAGTAGCTATTTAAAAAGCTAGTTTTTGGCTTGCCAAACATGATAACTTAAACAAGCTCAAAAAATAAGCTAAGCTTGTTAGCTGGGTGTGGGGCGCCAAACACAGATAAAATGACTTAAAAGCATGTTTTCTTTTTTATAAATAATTAAGGGTAAATTCGGAAATTTTTTAAAAAGCTTGTGAAAAGTTAGTTTAAGTAAGCTAACTTACCCTTATGATGGCCCACCACAAGCTTTTTCTTTTCATTTAATTTCTAGGGTTAAGCTAATAAAAGACCTTATATTTTGTGTTCTTTCCGGATTAAACCTCAAATTTAACTTTTTTTTAATGAAAAAGACCTTGCACTTTTTCATTTTTTCCTATCCGTTCCTTTTAGTCACTTTTCTCTAAAAAAGTTGTAAAACGCGAAGGTTTTTTCATGAAAAACTACAAAAGTTGAGGATTTATTTGGAAACATTGTTTTTTTAAAGAGAAATTGTCAGAAAAGTCCCAATATTTTCGAAAAAGTTTCACTTTAGTCCCAATTTTTTTTCAACAATAAAGTCCCGATTATTTCATTTTGGCTCAAATTAACAAAAAAGTCAATTTTTCTCTTTTAACAGAAAATAACATATCATCGTATAAAATCAAATAACTGAAACTCCCACACTGCAACTACTTCAACTCAAACAACCATCTTCTCCATGTGTGTGTGTGTGTGTTTGGATGTTAAAACTTAAAACTTAAAAGTTAAAAATTTAAAATTTAAAATTTAGTATGAAGTTATGTAGAGTAGTACCAAACATCATCGGGATTTGTGGATTGACACAGAGTAACACGAGAGTCTCGTTCTTGACAATATCCTTGATTGACTCTTTTCCTCCAAATTGCAGTTTCACCTTTCTCATATTTCTTCTCCCAACAAAGAAGTTTAGCCATTTCCTCAATATTCCTTTGTTCCTTTTCCAATTCTTCTTTTGGTCTTTGCCATGACTTGAAATTAACTTTCCAATTAATCGGAGGCCCAGAAAGAACCCAATACCCACCCGGTCTCAATACCCGGTCAACTTCCATCATGTACTTCCCATCTAACACCAATATTATTTTACTTAATTAAAATTTTCATACCATTTTTTAAGGGAAATTATATAATAATCATTATATATTTTCGTGATTATGTGGTTTAACCACTTGTAGTTTATTTTTTGTTAATCTCATAAAAGACCTTATATTTTGTGTTTTGTTTTGTTGGATTAAACCTGAGATTTATTTTTTTCCTAAAAAAGACCTTGTATTTTTCATTTTTCTCGATCTGGCTCTTTTAGTCTTTTAATTTCGAAAAACTTGTTAAAGGTGAGGCTTTTTTCGGGAAAAAAAGGGTTAATCTCATAAAAGAGTTTATATTTTGTGTTTTGTCTGGATTAAACCTCGGCTTTATTTTTTTTCTGAAAAAGAGCTTGTATTTTTTTGAAAAAAACCCTCAGCTTTGTCTTTTTTTTTTTTTTTGAAAAAAAAAAAACCCTCAACCTTCTAACTGCTTCCAAAAACCCTCAAATTTTTTAGTTTTTCTCGAAAAAACCCTCACGTTTTACTTTTCTTTTTGGAAAAAAATGACTAAAAGGGCCGGATTGGAAAAAATGAAAAAATACAATTGTCTTTTTCGGGCAAAAAACACAAAATATAAGGTCTTTTATGCGATTAACCCTTTTTCCAATCTGGCCCTTTTAGTTATTTTTTCCGAAAAAACTTGTAAAATGTGAGGGTTTTTTCGGGAAAAACTAAGAAAGTTGAGTTTTTTTTTTTTCGGAAATAGATAGAATATAACAACTCAAAATTGTTGATTTGGAAAAATGTGTGAAACTTGATACTTTTATGGAGTGATTGAAAATAATAAAGTATAAGTGGCTAAATCACAAAACAGGAAAAGATATGATAATATGGTTACTTAACAATTTTCCCACATTATTCAAAATAAAGATTTAGACTTAATGAAATTACCATTTCCACCCCATGGAATCAAGCACCTAGAACAATGAGCCATGTCAAAAGACCTTGAAGGGTATGGAAGTTTTATAGTTCCAAGAACACCAATAATTGCAGGGACACCTCTTTCAAGGGCAAATTGGACTTGTGCTTCATGTGAATCTCTTGGAGCAAAAGACATGGCTATAACATTTCTTTTGAATAAGTATGCACCCCAACTTGCAACCTATATTCCAAAATATTTTACAAAAAATACAACTTTTATTTACAAATTAAGAGCAAATTGCAGAAAATACTTTATCTTTTAAGTTTTAGCCATTATAGAACCATAACTTATTGACTTATAGTCATGGTAAAAGGAGTTTCTACTTTCTATTTATGGGGATAAAAACATGTAATCTCATAAAAGACCTTATATTTTGTGTTTTTTCCGGATTAAACCTTAACTTTATTTTTTTGTCTGAAAAGGACCTTGTATTTTTGCATTTTTTCCGAAAAAGCCCTCGACTTTGCATTTTTTTTTTTTCGAAAAAAATCAACAACCTTCTAAATGTTTCCGAATAAATCCTCAACTTTTTTAGTTTTTCCCGAAAAACCCTCATGTTTTACAATTTATTTCGGGGTTTTCTGCAGAAAAGTATCATTATTTTGGGAAAATTTTTGATAAAGTCCTTTTTTTAACAGAAAAGTCCCAATTATTTAATTTTACACAATAATCTATCATTTCCTGTTAAAATAAAAATAAGGATTTTTTTCGTTAATTTGGGCAAAATATTAAATAATCGGGACTTTGTTGTTGAAAAAAAATTAGGGCTTTACCAAAAATTTTCCCAAAATAATGGGGACTTCTCTGCATAAAACCCTTTATTTCAGAAGAAAAAAATGACCAAAAGGGCCAGATCAGAAAATTTGAAAAACTGCAAGGTCTTTATCATGAAAAACACAAAATATAAGGTCTTCTACTCTTTTACGAGATTAACCCTTGGTAAAAAGAGTAAAGTACATATCTATTTCATGTAATTGTCCCTAGAAAAAAATAAGGATTATTAAATATACTTACACCACAACCAGTGTCCAATGCAGTTCTAACCATTCCATTTCCAATTGGAATCACAGATGCCAATTGATCAATATAAGCATCTGCTCCATGAGGAAACTGAGTCCCTCCACCTGGGAATCTAAACACATCACCTTCATATTGAATCCAATTCTGAATCGCCTTTTCAACTGTCAAGCTCTTGTAAGGTGCATTAGCAAAAGGGACAAAATCCCTGCTTTTAGGCCATGGGAATGGAGTCACATACCCTTTAGGAGCTGGAATCAGACAATGAAGCTTCTCATTTTCAGGAGGACAATGTCTTTCCCTGTAGTTCATGAAGTCTCTAGGGAAAGTCATGGCTCGCATTTGATCATGGCAGGGTGTGTAGTCAATGAATCGATCAGCACATGGTTGGAAAACCTTGGTTTGTTGTAGATCATGGAGGTTTTTGATTCCATCTCCATGGTGTGTTTCAATGTTTAGATTTGAAAGAACACTGCAATCTGCTGTTTTTGTTACTTCTTGTGCTATGCTGTCTCCTTTACCAAATCCGCTCTTTTGCCATGCTCCAAGTAGATAGAAGAAGCAACAGAGACCCACGACTATGAATATTGAAAAGGATCTTCGTGTTCTATTGTCTCCTGGATTCCCTTTCGTTGCCATGAATGACCTGAAACATTGATTCGAGAAATCAAAATGCCATTGATACATGTCAAATCGACTGAAAAAGAAGCGACTTTGCATGACTAGACGTTTAATCAAACATTTGTAAGCATGTTTTCATTATTGTTATGATGTACTAGATATCTCATTGTGTTATATTTAGAATTTTAGAAGAGAATTTGTAGGTGGATAGAGAGACAAAGGTGTAGAAAGGCGAGATCTTTGTGTTCAGAGCAGCTAAGAAGCTGATCAAGTTCTGTGATTGAAAGCATTCTAGCGCTACTACATAAATAAACGATCCCATAAACCTCGGAAAATATTCCATCATCCATGATTAGCTTAAAGATCTGGAACCAAGTAAACAGACCAGTCAAACACACACGGAATGGAGTATAAAGCAGATAAAAACATTAGAACCGATTGAAGTAGTCGCTCGATTAAGAATGAAACAGAGGTGAACCCAATTAGGTATGACGTATATGGAAATAGATTGACGGGAAAAGCGGATCGAAGTGAGAAGAATCTTACGGATCTTGAAGACGATAGTGGAGATCTTGAGGACTTCGCTGGATTAAAACATGGACTGAGGGAGTGTAGATTCGTGTGACATATGATTAGCGATTATGGTGATGTCGGTGGGGTATGGTATGCAGAGGGGATATGAGATTGGTGTTCAATAAATGAAGAGGAATTTGGGTTTTTGATGAAGATTATGATTACGAAGGTGATGATGGCCTGGGTGACCCTTTTGTTAGATTCTTTAACCCCAGTTGTTATTGGCCATGGATAGCCTTTTTCTCTCTCCAATTCTGATTCAATATCATCCTTAATTTGATACACACGATCATGTTCATTTTATAGCGAATATCATTCGTTAAATCAAGTGCTGAAATAATAGTTTTGGTCATTAAGATTTCTTTATACATGTTTCTAAGATTCTTTATTGATTTTGAAGAGTAAATCTCACATTTTGTTTGTTTGTGCATGTGGCGGAGCCATGAATTTTGATACGGAGATACAAATTTTATTAAGATTGAAAATAGTAATGCAAAGAGTTTCTTAGTATTTAAATCCGTAAATGAGAAAAAATATAATTTAAGCAAAATTACAATCGAATCCGCCAACGCTTCATGTCTTGAAATCGATCAATGATATCGTCACCAAGAACTTGTAGAAACCCATCATTCTAAATAAAAGTGGTTAGACAATTGTTTAAAAATTGATCATCCATGCTATTTCTCAATTTATTCTCTCTACACTTATTATAACAATCATAAAATATATATTTTACATAGTTATTTAATCTCATGCATTAAAGACATGGTACAATGCAGTTACCTAAGGTATAATAACATAGAATATGTTTACAAATAATTTATTTTTATATATATAACAATTTTTTTAGGGATGTTGTAGGTAATTTTTATATATATAACAATTTTTTTGGGGATGTTGTAGTACCTACAACGCTAAATGTAACTCTGTCACTATTTTGTGCGATTAATAGAGTTAGATTTAGGTACACACTAAGGCTCGGCCGACATTTTGAAAGTTTTTTTTAGATTTTTTGGTTCACATGTGGATAGACATTTATTGTGTGGATATTTAGACAGTGATACTTACTTTATGAGAATAATTAAGGGAATACATTGTTTGATATTGTGAATACGTTCAACCTCACATACTCCTCTATTAAGCCAACTTTTCCATTAAGCTCTTAATGCTTAAGCCCAATGATACAAAACATAGATCTGAGTCTTAAAGAGTATCTAGAACCATAAAGTCACTAACTTGGTGACTTTGCATGCCCTAAAATATCCCAACTTCGATTTATAACATTCTCTTTTTATAAAAAGGCCATAACTCATGCATGGATGGATCTAAGCTTCAATGATGACAACTTTATGAATCTAGGACCAAAAGAACACTAAGAGTGGCAACTCTAAGTTTCAGAAGTGATATTAACCATAAGATCTCATCTATGGGACCAAAAAGGGTCCAAAACTCAAACAAAGGAGATCTAAGATTCTAAAGAGAAAAATTGAGACTTTATACCTCAAACAAGCCAGAAATGGAGCAGATAATCCGAATCTACAAGCTCTTCCTTGAACCAGCACCTTTCTCAAACCTTATCCTTCTTGAAAATGGGACAAAACACACCAAAATGGACATTATAAGCACAAAATGCAAGGGAGAGGCTTATGGTTTCAAATATGATGCTTAAGGGTCTGTGGAGGCTGAGAAATGAGGGTTTTAAAAATCCATAAGGATGCTTATATAGTGTCTACACTTGAAAATTAGGGTTTTCATCAAACCTTGCATACACCCCGTGTACAAGGCTATACGCCCCACGTACGCATCTAGAACCCCAACCAAGCCTTTGCATGAGTACGCTAAGTGTACCACTTGGTACGCCCCGTGTACTCGCTTTACAGCTTGTATGCTAAGCCTACCTTGCGGTACGCCCCGTGTACAACATAAGGACCAAATTCCAAATTAATAAATACACAAGGACCATAAATAACATACCAAGAATTCAAGTGTTACAATTTTTGTGTTAATTCGGTCCAAGGAAAAATACCCGTTGACCGAGTCTGTTGTGCGTCGTTCTCATATATACCATTTTCCATGCTTCCTTCTTCGTAGTTCGTACACCGAACTTGGTTCTCCTTCAAGCCAACTCATAACTTCTCCTTCCACAACCACCCGTTCTTATGAAATCGATCACCGGACACCTCCTCTACCATCATCCTTTCCAATGTCATTCACCTCTTCCTCTTTAATCAATTTCATAAATTGAGGTTTGATTGTTTGTGATTTCAGTTTTTCTTATTTTCAATGAAATCGATTTCAATTTTGCTTATTTTTAACTTCCTAAAAATGGTAATCCAATTCACTGTTTCTTTCACTAAATCTATAGTTTTTGTTTAGAGATTCAAGAAGGTTGTCGATGTCATTATCTTTTGTTTCGACTTGGGACAGGTGCTTTTGTTCTGGGTATTCAGTTGGAACCTTTTTGTATTTGATAACTAGTTAAATGGATAACTATTGTGGTATCACCATTAATAAATAACAATCAATTTGTGTTCTGTTTTTATATTTCATAATCTACCAGTAACGTTGTTACTATATATCACATTGATATATTCATATTTTTTGTGTTTGTTATAAGGAATTGAGAGATGAGTTGAATGAAACAATGTAGATTATATATTACTTGTGAATCATTTTGGAATTTCATGTGTTATCTTTTTGGGATTATATATTACTTGTGAATCATTTGGAAAACTGTAATGAACTCAAATGATGGAGGTTAGTGATATAAAATAAAGAAAAATTTGATTCTTGATTTATTAAAAAAAATGTTTTTTTTAGGGTAATATAGTTATTTTGCACAGTCAATCAGATGCAAATCAAATAGCAAGCTTCGGTCAGAAGTTAACTCAATCAGAAGTTCTAATCCACTCAGCTTCTAACCTAGTTAACTCTAACTCATTTAGCAACTATCAAGCGACACATTAGTTATTATCTTAGAATAGCATTGTTCATATACATCTACACAATAGATGTCATCCATATTCGAACATTTCCCTTTAAAACAAACTCTCTCTCTTTCTCTCTCTCTCTCTCTCTCTCTCTCTCTCTAAAGTTAATAGATCGAATACTTTTTCACAAGCAAAATATATAGCTTCTAACTACTATGTAGTTTTACAAAAATGCCCTAAATTAAAATGTTTGTTATTGTTTTTCAAGATGCTTGTTTAATCATTTTTTACCAAAGGATCAATGGCCTAGCGGTAAAGAGTGACCCTCTAATATGAGAGGTCATGGGTTCAAGTCTCGATGGAGACTTGGTGGTTATTTAGGAGTAGTTTAGTTAGTTTGTCGTTTAAAAAAAAAAAAAACTTGTTAAATCATTTATTGTGCGTTTTAAATGGTTTTATTGAGAAATAATCTTATTGATCAACATTCAAGTTTGGAAAATGTTTGAATTTCGAATCTAAGGTTTAAAAATTAAATAAATCAATTTATGGTTTAAACCAAGTTCTGAGACAATAATATGAATGTTTCAAAAAATGTTTACAAATGTGTAACGTCCGTAGATCAGGACTAGTCAATTTAGAGACAATGAGCATCAAAAATGACTTTTTGATAGAAGATTATTTAGAATGAATAATCTTAACGAAGTTGTAGTGGTCGTGACAAGGATTTGAATTGCAATTACTATATGGTGATCAATGTATGATTATTCTAACTGTATTTGTGAATTTCAAAATATATAGTAGCATGATAGAGTTTTTTGTTTTGTTATTCGAGTTGTATGTTCAATTAGAGAAAAAGTAGATCAAATTATTTAGGGTTGCATGCACACATAGGATTATTAGTCTATACATAATATCCATCATAAAGTGTAATTATTCAATAATTGAACAAAAGGCTCCAAAACCTTCCACAAAGGTGGTGGACGGTTTTGAAGGGGATAGTATATGGTTTCTAGAATATCCCATGTGGATATATAAGGACTTGGATAATTACCAATTTGAAATATTATTATTATATTTCAATTAGGGTTATCTGAGGCTTCCTTGTACCACTATATAAGGATCCTAAGCCCTCCAAAATTTGGCCACTGTATTCCATAGAGAGATAACCGAAATTTCAAGCCTCCCCTCTCTTCCCTCTTAAGTCATCTTCTTGCTAGCTTGGATGTGATTCCATTAGAGGCACGACGTACACTTGTGGTGCTTGCTTCCAAGAGATCTACTTTTGCATAATCATTGTTATTTACTACAATAACAATTAAGGTATGTAATCCTAAACCCTAAGTTATGATTTTCGAAAATTACCTAGGGTTCTTAGGGTTTCTTATTTGATGTTCATAGTTATAGGTTCAATAGTGAAAACATATATCATTTATGTTGCATGTGAACTTAAGGGTTTTAAGTTTATTTGTTTTACCTAAATCTCATCAAATTTATGGATAAATGTGTTTATGATTGGATTATAGTTTATATGTTTTTATGGCCTAATTAACTATGTATTTTAGGTCATTATGCTAATATATTTGAGTAAAAATGTTATATCTTAAAAAATATGATACTTAATATACTTTGAAATGTTAACTTATAGTTAAAATCGAAGTTGGGATACAAAAGTAAGAGAACAAAGCTGAAAAGACGCAAAAAGGATATTGATGGACATATTGACATCTCTTCAATATTTTGGCCATATCTAACGACTCGTAACTCCCACTAAGGAGATTCAAGATGTTCTAAACCTAGACAAAATTTCGGACGACTTTCATGTTGTGCCAAATACAAATTCCAGTTCCCACTCCGTGGAAAAGGAATTACCAAGACATGGTGGATCAAAAATGACGAAAAAAAACCCAGCTAGGTATACGCATTCAAGTACGTTATGGATTTTAGTTTCCATGACGTAGGAAGACTTTCACCACGCCGTGGTGACACCGACACCTATAAATAAAGCTGAAATTAAACGTAATGGTATATCATACAACCTAGTTCGATTTATGCTATTATAAACCCCAAGCTACAATTTTGAGAGTCTATAAGGCGGTTGGAGGGTCTTTAAGCATATATGGAGCGAAAATATGAAGGATTCGAGAGCGGATTTACGATGGGAATATTTCGGTTTGCTTTTCTGATCACAATTAGTATTCCTATTGTGTTCCTTCTGTTTTTACTATCTGAATTAGGGTGTTAAAACCTTTTTCTTTCGTTTTGTAGTAGATGAACCTTGATATTATGCGTTGAATTCAGTAATTCATATTTTATTACTTTGGTTATTAATTGTGTATGATTGATCGCATCACATATCATGTTAAAGTTATGATTTTTATTACATATTCTTGAGTTATGTGTAGTTTAGATGACCAATATGATTACATTGACTTGAATCTTAACTGTTTTATGATTATAATCTGTTAGGACTAGAGATTGATCAAATCCTAAGGTTAAGTGCTATGAATTGTTGACTTTGACTGTGTTAGAGAGTATTAGTTATCAATGTTATGCTTCGATTGATTGTCATGACCATTGATGAAAAATCACTAGATTATATCTTTCATATTATGAATTTACATTAAATTAATTATATGTTCACTAATTATATGATAACTGTGTGAGTTGTTCATTAATTATTAGTACTATGAAATTCAATCAAGATAACTAGTCACATTAGAATTCAGTAACCAACTAATAATTGCACTATTAACGAATTTAACCATAATTTTGAGATGTAACCCAATCTAAACCAAAGTACCTAAAGTGATTCGTTTCCAGTCAGTTTATCTAGTTACAGTAGCTATTGATTTAATTAAACTTTCATAATCAAAACCCCCTTTTTATTGCTTTCTTTTATTAGTATAACTTATAGCCAAATATTCTAATGTTAATTTATATCGTTCCCCTTGAGTATGATACCCTTGCTTATCAAACTCGGCGTACAAGAGAGATCATTGGTTCTATAAGTCTTACAAAGCTAATAAGTCTTTGTTGTTATCAACTCATTTTCTTTTCATACTCTCACCTATGTAGGATGAGATAAAAGTCATTTAAACCAATTATTAATCTCTTCCAAGTAACCTACTTTGATAAGTAATTTCTGATTCATCTTTAAATTGTTTT